CAAAGTACACTGCTGAGAGAAGCAGTGGGCAAGATAGGAGAGGACTGCTGTGCCATGTGGGTCACCTCCTGGCAGGGGGTCAAACTCAGTGCTGAGGCAGCTGTGACTGCCTTTGTAGTGTTGCTGTGCTTTAACCCATTGTGCCACCAGGGAGGGCCCTCATCTTTATTTTTGATATATAATTTTATGAATTATCTTTTTTTTGTCAAGGAGGTGTTAAAGTTTTAATCTACTTATCATTTATCACTAATGTACTCATAGGTACTGAGGAAGCAATATAGCCTCTTTCTAAGGAATTTCAATCTAGAGTTTTATTTCTTTTCTGGTCAGCTTAATTGAAGAACTTTTTGTTTATTTTTAGCATTTGATTATATTCAGTGTAAAATGGATTGTAATAGTATTTTCTATATTTTCAAAATTTTCTATAACATATAAGTTCCTGCAAGGTAGAGATGAAATGTTAAAACTTTAAAAGTCACCTTGTAGTGTTATGTACATGATACTTAATATATACTTAAAATCTTCAAAACTCTGATGGTTCTTCTTTTCAAAAAGACTAAGCTGAGCCCTCCCTGCTGGTGCAGCAGGTTGAAATGCTGCACAGTGAAGTTAGGCCAAGCTGTGGCCATTTCAGTGGGAGTTTACTCCCCACCCTGGGAGTGATCCAAATGGTGCACCCTCTGCTCTGTCACCCTCTGCTCCCCTCAGCAGTGTACTTTGTCAGTCTACCTGTGATGCTCCCAGCTGTGTTTCTGGTGAATCCTCTTACCGCCCTGCACCTCTGGCCCATATCATCTGTATGTATAAATAAAATCTTAAAAAAAAAAAAAAAGACTAAGCTTTTTTTATACTTGAAATAATTTCCCCTTTAATCCATGGTCTGTATATGTTTCTTTAATATGCTCACTCAAATCTCTTGCTGTAGGAAGTTGCTGATTCACCTCTTTTCCCTTATATTGTAGTGAGCTTATTTTTGAAAACTTAAAATTGTTGAGCTTCATTTATTTTGCAAGTTATCCATATTTGTTGTGATTTTCTAGAATGTAGTCTTCACCCTCCTTTGCATTTCAGTTCTTGTTTGAAGCTATTATTCTATAAATCCTCTCCTAGCTGTGTATTAATGTACGTATAGCCTGATAGAAGATTTAAAATGTGATTGTGATTCAGACTCCTAAACCTAAAGTTATAACTGCTTAATATATTCTAGATAATTTTATGTCTTTGGAGGACAGAAATAAGATTCTATTAACATAGACTTTATATACAGAATCATTCGTCATTTGATAAGGAAAAATCTTAGTTAACACCAATACTTATGAAAAAAGTGTTTTGTAACCTTTTACTAATAAAAATTCAGCTAAAATTTGTGTTCCAAGCTTTAATTGACCTTCCTAAAAGGTAGTATCTATTTTTTGCCTTCTTAAAGGATAAAGCCTCAAATAATATTTTTTGTTGGCTATCAAGTTTTGCTTCTATGTTATTGGTTTGTATACTTAAGAAGTTTGTGGAAATCTCATGACATTCTTAAAGTAACTGCTTTTAAAAATTATATATGAGTTTGCATTTTGGCATTCATCTTATTGAGGGAGTTTTAAGTAAATTGACTTTCTCTTTCGGGATTCTGTTTGAGGTATTTACTTATAGCTAATAGATAATATAGCATATATTTAGAAAAATTCTAAAATTTGTGATGATTTTGAGTCAAAAGTTTGTTGTGACCATGAAGTACATGAACATTTGGTAGTATCTATCATTCAAGTAATAACTTACTACTGAGAATCAAGAATAAAATGCATAGTTTGATGATCTCTGCTTTCAGTAGCAACATTTTTTTCTTTTAAAGAATATTCTTGGGGGGTTCTTTAGAGTTTATTTACTTTATTCATACAGAACTGGGTACAAGCCAGAGGTACAGGGGTGGTGAGAGGATTCACAAGAGACAGAGTGGGGAGCAAAACAGGCAGATGGACGAAGTACACTGCTGAGGGGAGCAGCAGGCGGCTCAGGAGAGGTCTGCCAAGCCATGTGGATCACCTCCAGGGCCGGGGATGGAAGTTGCACTGAAGTGACTGAGGTTCACTGGCAGTGCTGTGTCCTCGTGAGCCACCAGGGGAAGTCCCTTAGTAGCAACATTGTAATCTAATTAGTAAAAGATGTAACTTCAAAGGCGTACAATCTTAAGTGAGCTTTGACAGTTGTCAGCTTCTTTTCTTGAAAATTCAGGCTCTAAGAAATAGACATGATTTTTTTTATATATCGATTATCTTTGTGAAATATATATCTGCATATATTTGTATGCTTCATAACTTTCTGCTGCATACTTTGTGGCTTTTGGAAAGTTAATAACATTGACTAGATTTAGTTTTGCCATTTAAAATTAGAAATAATGATACTGATAAATAATTGCTTTCTTTACATTACTTACTTTTTCCTATGGTAATAACTAAGCAAATCCTTTCTTTTTGTTTGTACTTTATCTTGTGTTCCAGTAGTACCGTGAACAGGAAGCCATTCGTCTTTGCCTAAAACACTTCAGACAACACAACTATACAGAGGCCTTTGAATCACTACAAAAGAAAACCAAGATTGCTCTGGAACATCCCATGTTAACAGATCTACATGATAAACTGGTGTTGAAGGGTGATTTTGATGCTTGTGAAGAATTAATTGAAAAGGCTGTAAATGGTATGTTACGAACATAAGACCTAGATTAGTTATTACTGCGATATCAGTACTATAGAAAAAAAATTAAAAGGACTATGGGCCTATGCTTGTTATTAGTTTTACCTTTTATTTGTCTTTTTATTCTGTGAAGTTTGTGAGTTCCTGCATTAGGGACTTAATGTATTCATTCATTCATTTTCTTACATCATTGTTGATTTTTGTAGTGTATTTAATTTCTACCCTAAGGCATGAATCTCCATAAGTCTCCCACCACCATATCAATGGTGAATCATCACCGTAGTCCTTGTGCTCTTCCCTTCTCTATTTTGACCCCTTTCCTTCCTCTCTGTATGCCTCAGATCTATAATTTGCTTGCTATTTTTGTCTTTTTTTTCTGGCTCTTTGTTTGATTTCCCTATATTCCTCCTATAAGTGAAAACATTAGTTATTTTTCTTTTTCCTTTTGCCTTATTTCATTGAGCATCATCCTTCCCAGCTCCATCCATGTTGCTGCCAATACCATGACTTTATCTTTTTTTGATTGCTGAGTAATATTCTGTTGTGTATAGATAACATATTCTTGATCCAGTCATCTGTTTCTGGGCATTTAGGTTGTTTTGGTATCTTGTCCATTGTAAATAGTGCTGCAGTGAACATAGTTGTGCAGGTTACCTTTCGAATTAATGTTTTTCTGTCATTTGGGTAGATTCCTAGATCATATGCTAGAGCATATGACAGCCCTATTTTTAGTAATTTGGGAGTCCTCCGCATAGTTTTCCATAGTGTTTGGACTAGTTTACATTGTTATCTGCAGTGTAATGGGGTTCCTTTTTCTCCTCATCCTCTCCAGCATTTGTTGTTGCTAGTTTTTGATATGTCCATTTTCAGTGGTCTGAGATAGTACTTCAATATGGTTTTGATTTGCATTCTCTGGCTATAAGTGATGTTAAGCATTTTTTCATATACTTGTTGGCCATTTGCATTTCCTCTTTAGCGAATGTCTTTTTCATTCTTCTGCCCATTTGACTGTATTGTTTGCTTCGTTTTTGTTGAGTTATGTGAGCTATTTGTAGGTCTTTGAAATCAGTTTGGGATTTCTTAACATAAGGTAGATAGATCCATCATATAACAAGATTTGAAAAACAGTACAGAAACAAATTAACATATCAAAATTTAAGTTATCCTAGGAAGCCATGCACTTAGGAATGCTAACAGTGACTCATTGAGCCATGTTAGGAAAACGCTTTTCTAATGTTAGTTTCAATATCACCGGCCTGTTCCTTCATTTTTGTTGATAATAAATTGTTATATTTTTAATACTTTTATTTTTGGGGGGCTGTCTGGAGGACATAATTAACAGATGTTGGCAGGGTTGCAGGGGAAAAAGGAAACTTCATTCACTGTTGGTGGGAATACAAGATGGTACAGCCCCTGTAAAAAATGGTATGGAGATACCTCAAGAAAATAAAAATGGAAATCCCATTTGACCTAGCAATACCACTATTAGGTGTCTATCCAAATAATTGAACAGTTTAACAAGAAAAGATCTATTTATACCTGAGTACATAATAGCACTGTTTACAACTTGCCAAATCATGAGACCAACCCAACTGCCCTTCAGCATATGAATGGATAGAGACTTTGAAACATATATTCCATGGAATATTTTACAGCTATGAAGAAAAGCAAAATGGTGACATGTAGCACAAAATGAGATGAACCTTGAGATGATTATGTTGAGTTAAATCTGCCAAGTAGTGAAACACAGATTTTGGTTGGTTTCATTCATTTGCAGAATGTAACCACCCAAAAGCAATTACATGCAAGCACAGAAGAAATAAAAATTTGAACTCAGCAAAAAAGAAGATAATAGTTACCAGAGAGAATAGGGGAAAGAGTGGAGGGGGTAGAGTGTAGAGCAGTTGGGGAATGGGATTGGGTGGTTTGGTTGGAAGCAATAAATAAATAAAAAAAACAATTGATTAAAAAATAAGTCACTGGCACTCCCTGGTGGCGCAGCGGGTTAAAGCACAGCACTAAGAAGCTTAAGCCACTTCCGCATGAGTTCGATCCCCGCCTGCCCCGGAGGTGACCGTATGGCGTGGCAGACCTCTCCTGACCCGCCCGCTGCTCCCCTCAGCAGTGTACTTTGTTGATCTGCCTGTTCTGCTCCCCACTCTGTCTCTGCCCTGCACCTCTGGCCTGTACCCCAGTTCTGTATGCATAAATAAATAAATCTTTAAAAAAAAAAATAAGTCCCTGTGGGGGAAATTCCAATTTCTTTCAATGGGAGTAAAATATAGAATACTTTAAAATAAAATCACACAATAAAGAAAATACCCAGAAGAGTCCCAGATTTTATCTTTAAGGCTTTTAATATTTTGTTAAGGTAAAGTAAGCAACAAAACCACTAGCAACTTTATATAATTATATAATTCTTAGGCTAAGAAAAATTGTGTTTTAAAATCATCTCTTTAGCAGTATACTCAGTTAAGACAAGCTGTAAAAATCATGGGTAACTGATAGTACTGAGGCTTAATTAACTTAATCTTCCAGCTTTAGAAAGGAAAGACATTTAGGGAAAGTTGGTAGTTAACTCCGTTATAGAGACTTAGAGCCATGTCACATTTTTTTGTCCTCCTCAGCTGCTTTGGAGCAGTGTTAGTTGATAAACATTCCTTCCAGGGTTGTTCGGTTAGCTGCTGACTTCACTGATGATGATTTGTTGGACAAATAAGGAAGTAAACACTGCAGGGTTGTGTTTTTTTTTTTTTTTTTTTTTTTTTTTTTTTTTTTTGGCATATGCTCTACTGAAAACATAGCAGAGAAGGGTAAGAAGTTTTTGCTTGCTGAACAGGAAAAGTCTAGGGATTCAAAAGCATCTTCCATCAATTTTTTTGTAATGGAGGAAACAAAACTACTTTTAGAACATTTTGTTAGTACACCCTTCAAGTGTAGTATGTATTTTAAGAAAGTACCAGGCTATAATAGATTTCCTATACCAGGCTATAATAGATTTCCTATTTAGCTAGAAACATCCCTATGTTTATATTTAATTTCATTAAAAGTGATTCTTGAATAAATAATTGCAACTTCGTTTCTGGCAATGCCAGAGCAAAAGGTAGAATTCAGTGGTGATGGATAAAAATAATCACCTAGGAACTGGAAATATTCATAGAAAATCCCTTTGCAGTATTAATCTTATTTGCTATTAAAATAAGTTTGCTTCAGGGGCCCTCCCTGGTGGCGCAGCGGGTTAAAGCACTGCACTGAGAAACTAAAACTACTTCCGCATGAGTTCGATCTCCACCTGCCCCGGAGGTGACCACATGGCGTGGCAGACCTCTCCTGACCCGCCCACTGCTCCCCTCAGCAGTGTACTTCATCGATCTGCCTGTTCTGCTTCCCGCTCTGTCTCTGGTGAATCCTCTCACCCTCCGAATCTCTGGCCTGTACCCCAGTTCTGTATGAATAAATAAATCTGAAAAGGGAAAATTCTGTCATTTGGTTTAAAAAAAAAATGTATTAAAAAAAAAGTATTTCTTAAAATAAGTTTGCTTCTATGAGATAAAGGGGGTGGGGAGTAAGGTTTAATAAAGTGGTCCTGAAGTTTCAACTTAGTGTCTTTATCTACTTCCCTTCCTCCCTGTACCCTTCTCTAACTTTCTCTTCCCTTCTTTCCTCCCCATTCTCCTTCCCATTTCTATTCTTTTTCTTCTCTCCGCCTCTTTTCTTTTCATCATCCCTTGGTTTCTGCAGTTGCTGTTAATTATATGTTAATTATATATATAGGCCTGTTTTCCTCTTATTAAAGTTTTTTAAAGTGAGCTCTTAAATCATGTTGGAGTTACCTTTGTGACAAGCTTGTTAACTATAAATTTTACATTATTAATAGATAGGAGACTTTATTCTAATTCTTGAATAAACATTGGTAGTTTGGTTCTTTTGAGTAGTATACCCATTTCATCAAAATTGGTAAAATTATTGCTATAAAGTTGTTCAGAATATTCTGCTATGATATTTTGATGCCTTTATATCAATTCTTATTCATGATTTTGGTAATTTTTAGCAATCTGGTAGCAAGCTATCAATTTAAAGAAGAGTTCGGTTTTCTTTTTTGTCTTTTTTTTTTTAGTTCATTCTATTTGATTCATGTATGCATTTATTTTTTTATTATTTCCCCCCTTTTACATACTTTGCTTTTAATTTTTTTTTTTGTATTTGTCAATATGAAATCTAAGGCCATAATTTCACATCCTTATCACTGTAGGTATTTGGTTTCAATTTTCCTCTTAGTATTGCTTTTGCTATAAATTACATATTTGGTAAGTTGTGTTTTCATTTTTGAATATACTTAATTCATAATGATATACTTTTCTTTCTAATCCTTATGCTTTTTCCCACGTTGTGTTTAATCTTTTGATGAGAATATTTAGTCAATGTTGAGGTGACATGATAGTGCGTTTTCTTGTTTAGTTCATGGCTTCAAAAGAAATGCTTTTATTATTTCATAATTCACATATTTAGAGATCTTGAATAAGATTCTTTGATTGCTAACAGTTTGGTATAAGTAGATTCAGTTTTAACCACTTTTTATCTTTGTGATATGATTTCTCCCCTAATTTATTCTATTAATATATGAATTTATAATGATTCATTTTCAACTGGTAACCCTCATATATACTTAACTTTGCATTTCTTAGATATAGTTACCTTTTTTTTTTTTTTAAATTTATTTATTTATTCATACAGAACTGGGTACAGGCCAGAGATGCGGAGGGTGAGAGGATTCACCAGAGACAGAGTGGGGAGCAGAACAGGCAGATCGACGAAGTACACTGCTGAGGGGAGCAGCGGGCGGGTCAGGAGAGGTCTGCCACGCCATGTGGTCACCTCCGGGGCAGGCGGGAATCGAACTCATGCGGAAGCGGCTTTAGATTCTCAGTGCTGTGCTTTAACCCGCTGCGCCACCAGGGAGGGCCAGATATAGTTACCTTTTTATATCTATTTTGGTGCCCTTT